AATATCAGCTGCAACTTAGCAGCTGTCTGTGTCGTGTGTCTTTTCTTCTTCGTCCCTGTTGTTTTCCACTTTTAACCTTTTAAATCGTGTAGCTGCGTCCCTGCCAGCGAGTAGATGTAGTTGATCGCAAACGGGATAGTTTATTATAGTGTGCTATTTTCCCGTGTCTCTTCGTCGTGAGGTATTTTTTTAAAATTTATTTACGAAACTACGTAAAAAATCTGCAAAAAAAAAATAAATAAAATAGAACGCGTATGTTTATGTGCATGAAACAAACAAACGTTGAAGTGCGAGTTCCAAGATTCTTGTTATTGGTCCGCAGTGAACAAGGTCGCGGCATTAACACATATTAAATCACAAATAAAGAAGCGATGACATAAAAAGCTAACCGTGAGTATAGAACCAGTCTGTTGCAAATATTAGATCTACACACGAGGCTCCTCGGGCTGTTGTGCCAGTTTTCTTTATAACTACTGCATCGTGACAAGGCATCATCTGATTTGACTACGCATACAGTGTACCGTGTGTATCAGCGAAGACTTTCGAAATTCCAACCAATAGCGTGGCTGAGAAAAAAAAAACTCTTTTAGGAAGCAATTGGCGTCCACGGCGGACATCACGAATTGTGTAAAAAACATGCAAGTTGGCTAAATAGGGAACTAATATTTACTAGTTAATCTCTAAAAATAAATATATGGCTCCAATTACTTGCCGAACGAAGAGAATTTTTACGGTTAAAGCTATTTTACGCTATTTATAATGACCACACCGGAATCGATAAAAGTATGTATATGCAGGCACCAAATTACGTATCAAGAAGAACGGATCACCAAATAAAAGTTCGAGAAATTAACTGGCGAACGGATGTTTTTGCCCACTCTTTTTTCCCCCATTCCGAGCGGAATCGTCTGGACAGCTCAATTGCCAATTCTCCTGAAAACATGGTCTCAGTTTTACAAAACTTTTGTTTCCAATAGGTGTCTGGAACTTCTATGTTATTTTAGGCTTTCTTGTTATTTTCACTAGTTTGTCATGTATTTTCTTTCATGTAACCCCCCTACAATAATGCCCCCTGGGCGATGTAGGTATGTGCGTAAATAAATAAATAAATAAATTCAAAACGCCTAAATAAGCCGATTTTAGGAAGACAAAGAACACGTGCGCTAAACTTACTACTTATGCAGCAGATACAGTTCCGGCTATGCGAAAAACGGGGATGATAGTGTGTGTTTTTTTCTCACTAGAATTCAAAAGTTAACTCATACATCTTAGTTACTTATTTGACTAATTACCGTTTTTTTTTTTTTTTTGCCATTTGTGATGTCCGTCGTGGTTGGCTGTTTGTTCCAGAAAAGAGTCCTGTTCATTGCTTGGTTCGCTTTTTTAGCGTATACATGCGTGATTGTAAGCGGGTCCTCTGACTGTACTTGTTTTTTTTTTTTTTTTTCTACTCTTGACGATGTGTCTTACAGCTGTTTTGCTCTCTGATTGCCGGATGCGCTGCGCTTACTTTCTTTTGTCTCACGCGGAATGTGAGTCACGTGCATCAATTGTAACAGTCTGCGAAATTGTTGCCTATTTGTTTTGTTCGTTGCAGATACCAAATGTTTATTGTACTCTATATTTTGGGCCTCGAAACCCAGTCGTTTTTTGTTTGTTGTACATGTTTTTGCAACCGGCGACGTCCCCCGTGGTTGACTGTTTGTTTTCGGAAATAGTCCTTTTCTTTAAGGCCTTTGCTGAAACATTCGGTAGAACGTAAATTCCCCGAGCAAATGTATTTGTCCATGAAAACCCTATCAGGAAGAAAACATGTGCACTTACACAACCTATGCCCGATAATACCACGTGAAATAACTATGGCATATTATACGCACGCCTTTTCCCAATAAAAAAAAGAAAAAAGAAAACGCGGAGGTAAATGGATATTTTAGTCATGGTTGTTTACCATATCTTCCAAGTCAGATTGCACATACTTGGCACTGTGTGGTTTCACCTGCTTTCAATTAGTTTCTACCTATCGATATTTTAATTACATGAATGTGGCGTAGTAGCGACGAGTGTTGTGTATAGGATCTGTCTACCACGGGCATAAGATTTGGGGATCGCGTTGAACCGCTTGAAATTGTGAAGATCACTAGTAAATTTACTGAATTCTTAGATTTTTCTTTATATGAGCCTATCGTATTGTATTATGAAACATGGGTCGTGTCGGTGTATATGGTTATGTCAGTAGGGATTGTTTTCATTGAATAACCTGGAAGGGATCTTTTTAGGTACGCATTATCATGAGGGGACAAATAAATAAAGAATATATAAACTTTATTCAGACTCAGTAGTCTTGGCTGGCGATCTAACGCCGCCTGATGTTTGGCAATGCCCCAAGTTAGCGCCCTAGAGTGTTTTTTTTTTTTTTGAGTATACATTTTTCTTGGGGAGTCTGCTTCTCTGGAGAGAAGTGATGTCGCTTTAGTGATGACGAAACGAAGCACGAGCCGTTTCGTCGCCTCGCTGCTTAGCTCCTTGGCGCCGCCTCCCATTGACGCGAAGGAAAACGGGGGAGAGGTTTGCAAGCTTTCGCGTAACGCGTTGGCACAGCTATAAAAAAAACTTCTACGCGTGCACTAGGAAAAGGCGCGCGAGAGAAAAGCAAGAAAAAAAAAAAAAAGAACTTGCTCGAATTGATTTTTTTTTTTAAGTAATTGCGTTTTGTGTTTATACAGCGCGAAGTTAACCAGCCCCAATGAGCGTCTCGTGTTCCGCCGTAGACGAGAGCAAGTGCAGTACGACTACTCATATCGTGCGGGAGATTGGTTCAACCGGTCATAGCGCAAAGAAGACCGAGGAGATACATTTTTGCCACTGCTTGATTGACTCGAACCGATGGTAGAGCCGACTGAGGTGTTCGGAACAGAGACTCGTGGCGAGCGTTCCGGTTCGCGTCTGGGTTTCATCGCAAAGTGGACAGCTCCGATATACACCTTCCGAGCGTCTCATTCACTGTTGAACATGCGTCGTTTAACAATTTCCGGTACGTTCGATTATTGTGTTTGTTCGTTCAGATCAGCTGCGTACGAGCGTGTGTTTCACAACATTAGTCCACGTGTACGTATGTGTGTACCGGTGCGGTGGTGTGCGGTTGTTGGTCCCTTTGTCGCTTTATTTTCAGTATTTTAGCGCATATACTTGCCCGTTTACTGCTTTACGTTTTCCTCCGTCTCACTTTCTTCGTTCGTAAGTTGAAATATTTTCTGACGATACCTTAAAAGAAAAAGTTTCCTTTAACGCTACAGTAAAGTGTAAGCTCCTCCCACCCCTTTCCACTTTAGCAGAGCGAAGGCTGAAGAGGAGGCGGCATCCTCTCCAGCCTTCGCTTTGCTAAAGTGGAAAGGGGTGGGAGGAGCTTCCACTTTATTCTTAACTTGTCACCGACTCTAGAATAATTAACTTTTGTATCCAAACAAATGAAAAAATGGTAAATCATAAGCGTATGCAATATTTGTAATTAATAAGAAATATCTAAAAATTTAAGATTTGCTCGGAACTTTTGGTTAATATGTAACCAGAGATTGCATTTTATGTCATCTCCTTCGTTACGTCGAAAGACGGGGTGCGTCTGGAATTTACTGGTATTGATCGCCCCCCTTTTTATACCGTCAGATAACCTGTTCTGATACGTGTTCGCATCGCAAAGAGAAAGCTTTTTACTTTCGCTGGCGATTCTTCGAAATAATGGAAACGTTTTCTGTGTTGGCAGATTCGTCTTCGGTCGAATATATATCTGTTAATTACATTCATTGAGGTACCAGAGTATTGGTACCGCAATTGATATTTTCTGACCTTGCTTTTCGCTTTACTTTATGCTTTTTTTTTTTTCAAAAAAATCACGCATTCTCCAATAAATGTTTCATCTGTAATGTTGAATGTAGAGTCCCGGAAACTCTGTCAGGCAGCAGGCATACATCTCTGCCCCACGCAAAAAGAAAAAAAAAAAAAAAAGTTGCAGAAAAAAATGAAGTAATTACACAAAAAAATAGCCTCCTTATGCCTTGCACAACTTCCGAGGCCTCTGGAAATTCAGACACTCCCTCTAATTTTAATTCCTGGGGAAACCCCTGCTTTCTGAAGTTTCAGCGTTATGCAATGCGTTGTTTATTTGTGCGGGCGGGCCGAAAGAACATATTCCAATTTCTCTATCGGAGCCTGTAGTAATTCTGCGCGGCGCTAATCTCTAGGGTGGCATGAAATAAACACCAATTTTTACACGTACGCAAACTGAAGGTGGCATCGCGGTCGTTTTCTAGGCAGTGCCCACACAATCGCTTCGGCGAACTGTTTGTGTTCTTGTCACTCCCCTCAATATAATACTCAGCGGTTTTCATGCATGTGCGCGCATTTCTTAGAAATACGCCGCTAAGATATCTATAGCTTGCAGAACATAAGCGCAAAAAGAGAACGCCATGTTAAGAAAACTCGCTCATGTTCATACAATTCAAATCCTCAATATCACAAATAATTGCCATATCCTGGCTCCTGCACAGAGGAATCAGCAAACAAAGAAAGAAACAATTTAAGTATCACCGACTGCTCATAAATGACACAGATAAACGATGATTGATACATGCCAACAAAGTGAATACAAGCAATCAACACATTATCTTAACCATAAGGAAGAGGTCGAGTAAGAATGGCTGTGCGACGGAGCAACGGTATATTCCGCTGCTTGTAGTTAAATAGTGATCATTATTAATTACCGATAATGAATTAGAGAGGCTTAAAAAGTTTAGCTAAATTTAGCTAAACTTTGCTAGAGGCAGTGTCACGGTGCTCCCTGACGCTCTTAACATTACGCTGATGTTCCGGAAGTCAGTCCTTAGCGCACCGTGTGAAAGAACTTATGAAAGGACCAACTTTAGCCCACATCTATTTTGATTCAAACTCCGCGGGCATTCGACAAATAAGGTTCCTAAACAGGTAAAAGAAAAATAGCATTCACTCACCGAGTATCCACACGTAAGTGAGAACTCTCCGCAGGCTGCAGCTCCTCGAATGCATGATTCAAACACAAGCAAACAACGCGCACAAGCACTAAGCCTTTCAAACTGCCAGCGACGCGGTCGTGTCACGAAATCGCGAAGCGTCTGCTGCCGCCGCCGCCGCTCCCGTCGTCTGCTTTCGACACCGAAGACGGAGACCGGCCGCGCCGCCGCGCCCCCTAGGCCTTCCGTGTGCCACCCGTCATCCAGACTGAGCGTGCGCCTGGAAAATAAAGCAAACAAAACAAAAAACAGTACACCCTTCAAAACATTGCAGCCACCATCACAAAGTTTGAAAAGCGAGCGTAACTCTCTTATAAAAGACGGATTTGTCTTCGCAACAACACAGGCCTCTTGTGACTCGTCTGTCTGCGAGGAAAAAGTCCGATAATCACCTGTTTCCGAAGCGCGAGCGAGCGTTCAGGCGCGCTCGTTTAGGTCATACTGGTAAACATTTCTTCTTTTCTCTGTCAATATATACGAATGGTATATAGAGAGCACAAACTTGCCTGCCAGGAATGTCTGCTTTGGCGTGGCGGCGGCTGTAAAGGTAACACGCAACTGTCAGATAATTGCGAGGGAATTTCCCGAGCGAGCAATCGGCCGAGCGGCGCCCACCTCGCTCGGCGTCACGAGATCAACCGGCTGCGTCGCTGCGTTGGCTGCGTCACGGAGCAAATCTTATTCCAATATAAAGGAAAAGATAAGGCCGACTCTATCACGAAATTTGGACCGCACGCTCTCAACATCAACGATAGAATTGGCGGAGAAGGAACTCTGACGTGTATTATTTGATAATCCGGTATACGGTGAGCTTTTCGTGCGAAACTGTGTGGCGTCACGCGTGGAATCGCTGGCCTGTTTCCGCGCAGCCACATTGTGGCGCGAGTTTTGAGCGCGAATGGATTACGGCCGTTTTGTTGTACTATCGGGGAAAAATGAAATGCGAACAGAGGAGCGCGTGGCTCGCGGTACAGGCTGCGCCGCCTGGAAGTGAACCTAGGACCGAGGCTGCGTGGCCTACTCCAACGTGTTCACGCCCCTCCCTCTGCGTTCTCCAAGCTTCAGCAGTGCGCCTCTTAGTGCGCTGAAAGCTATCACCGCTATCTTTGCTGGCTTAGCGCGTGCGGTGCAAAGAAGCTCGCCGCACTCGCCGAGCAGGCAAAGATAGCGGTGACAGCTTTCAGCGCACTGAGAGGCGTACTGCCGAAGCTGGGGGAGCGCCAATCGAGGGGCGTGAACACATCGAAGTAGGCCACGCACCCTCTCCCCTAGGTTCACTTCCAGGCGGCGCAGCCTGTACCGCGAGCCACGCGCTCCTCTGTTCGCATTTCATTTTTCCCCGATAGTACGTTCCCTTAGCGCCTGTTGCAATGTTCGGAGCTCCACAGCCCAGCATGCGATCTCCACAGCCCAGTACGTGAGTGTTCTTTGCTTTGAAAATCGATCTGAAAAAGCCAAAGATGACGCCAGCTCGCGTGCACGGCGTGGCCTGCCTTAAATTACTTTGACATGGTGCGATTGTAACACAGAATATATGTATGGGCTGGATTTCATGCGACAGCGTTGTGCTCGAGTGTAAGAAAAAGCCGTTTACACACACACGCCAAGGAAGCATAATGCATGCACTCTCAAGAAAAAAGGGTGTCAAAAGGTGTATTCTTACACCCTTTGTCCCATATAATACACCCCAGAATTTCAATTCGACGTACAGCGCCCTACAGTCGAACAGAGGGCACGAACTTCTACGAGGGGCTTGATAGCCGTGTGGTACAACATTTTAGATAGCTTAAGTACGTATCAAAGACCACATAGAGAAAACACCGAGTTTTTACAGTAGGGCCAAGAAAACCCCGATTATTTCTTTTTTAGTCAGCAAAACGTACCTAAGCTATTTGAATAAGTTGTACCACATGGCTATCAAGCCCCTCGTAAAATTTCGGGCCGTCTGTTCGACTGTAGGGCGCTGTATGTTGAATTGAAGTTTGGGGGTGTATTATATGGGACAAAGGGTGTAAGAATACACCTTTTGACACCCTTTTTTCTTGAGAGAGTGCATAGCCCATAACAGCAATGCAGAAATAAGCGCCCAAAGCGAGTAGATAATTAAACCCGGTCAACGAGATTTGCAAATCGGCGCAGCGGGAATCGAACCTCGAACCGTGCGATTTGTAACCCGACGCCCTTGCTCGGCGCCACTAGGAGGGGACGAATGCAATAAGAAGCTTGACTGAGCATCACTCAAGGAATCGTATTAAGAACAAAACGAGCGTGTTGGTAACGGTAATTAGACATGAGGAAGATGTCTAATAATGTCTCATGTCTAATAATCGTATTAATAGTGACTCTCGGAGCTCGCATGGCGGCTTCCGAATCCCCACGTGATGCCAGGATGTCACGGGTTCAAATTTAAACTTGTCTCGATCGACCTGATAACCCACGTGCGACGCACTCTAAACTACCCAAAGTATTCCGCAAACAAGCCTAGCAAATTATACTTTGTGTCAGCTTAAGTCCAGACTCCGCCGACGTTACTAGTCAATGGGACCGATCAAGCAGAGTCAAAAACACGAGTGACTAAGCCTTTCCTGTTTAGCATTGGTTCAGCCATGGTAGGATACACTCTCAGAAAAAAGGGTGTATTCTTACACCCTTTGCCCCATATAATACACCCCAAAACTTCAGTTCGACGTACAGCGCACTGACGTCAAACCGACGGTACCAACTTTTACGAGACGCTTGATAACCGTGTGGTACAACTTCTTAAAATATATAATGTACAGTGCCCCTCAAACTTAGCGCCGCAATTCGGTTACACTCGGTTACGCAAATATTGATCTATTGTATGCTACCCAAAGATAAATTGGTCGCTGCAGCTGCTCGAATACCTTCCCCTGGTTGGGTTCTTATCGGGGACGCGAATGTTCACCAAGTAGTTCGACCACTAGGTTCAGGAATAGCTCAACAAGTGAATAAACCGGACGATCTAGTGGCGGCGTTAAGTTTGAGGGGCACTGTACAGGGTGTCACAAAAGAAAATTTACACCGTCTTTTTTACCGCAAAAATAAACTAGGCATCGGCGAACGCTCATTCTCCGCCTAAAGGTAGCGCTAGAGGTCACAACCAGATGCCAAAGTTTCAGCCCGATCCGATACCTTAATCAAAAGTTATAAGTGATTTTCTGAAAATTTCAATTGGGAAAATGGCGGCCAACCGAGTTTTCAAACACATGGGGCTCTATGGCACCAGAAACCGAAAACGGGCAAAAATGGGCTCCATTTTCCCATTGAAATTTTCAGAAAATCACTTATAACTTTTGATTAAGTTATCGGATCGGGCTGAAACTTTGGCATCTGGTTGTGACCTCTAGCTCTACCGTTGGGCCATAATGAGCGTTCTGCGACGCCTAGTTTATTTTTGCGGTAAAAAAGACCGTGTAAATTTTCTTCTGTGACACCCTGTACGTGTTAGCGACTACAAAATAAATAATCGGTGTTTTCTTGGCCCTGCTGCAAAACTTCAGTGTTTTCTTTCTGTGGTCATTGATACATACTTTAGCTGTTTAATAAGTTACATCGCACCATTATCAAGCCCCTCGTAAAATTTTGGGGCCGTCTGTTCGACCATAGGGCGCTATACGTCGAACTGAAGTTTTGGGGTGTATTATATGGGACAAAGGGTGTAATACAACCCCCGTTTTTTAGAGTGCACGTACAGAAACAGAAGGAACACCATGATGGTGCTCTTTTGACGCTGTTTGACTGCTCCCGTCCGCTTCTAGCGTCGACAGCGTCTGGACTTAAGGTGAAACGAAGTAGAATAGTGCGCGAATATTGCATGTGCGACACAAGGGAGTTTTAGAATAGCGCACGCTGAAGCTTCGCGCACGCAAAGAATAGAGTCGACGCCACAGGGCATGCACCCAACGCTAACCACGTTTCGCGCTTTGCGTGCGCTATTTTAGCGTACGCTATGTCTCGGAAATTGCGAGCGTACGAGAACGAGGAAGCGGGGCTTAAGGCGCATTCACACAGCGGAAAGACGCGCGGCGTGGGGTGAATTTTTTGCATATTTTTGTATAGAAAAAAGTCACGCTCCGAGGAGGACGACGCAGAGAGACGACGCCTCGGAACCCAATTTTTCTCTCGACGCGCGCGCTTGAGCCAATCAGCGAGCGTCCGGACGTGACGTATCGCCCTTTTCCGGTTAGGACACGTTTTCGCTGTTTTTATTTTCGACCCACAAAGAAGGCGAAAAGGGGGAGGGTCGAGGGATTCGTGCACTTGCCAGACGTGGCTGGAAGCATTTCTGCGTGGAAAGAAGCAAGCCGATTGGAACATCTGACTGTGAGCAGTGTCTTATGTGTGTGTACGACGCCGTCAAACTACTCTTCATCGTTTGCGCGATAGCTGCCACCGAAGTTTGCGGTGTGTTCCGACCCCCGACTGTGCGGGAGCGATCACTCCCAATGTGTTGTGTAGTCTTTGTGTGCACCCACCACTACGGAATGCAACAGTTCTCCATCGAAAACACTCTCGCACATGCTGCGCAGTGTTAAAGGTACGGACGCGCCGGCGTAGCACCGTGCTTTGTTCGCACAAAAAACGCAGCAAGAGAGCACCACTGATCTCTATTGTTGAGAGCACTTTCGAAGCTGCCAGCTCGAGTCCGTACCGGAGCGCCAGGAGCGCCCCTAGCGGACGCCACCGGCGCCGCGCCTGCGCGATGGGGGTGTGGGCAAGAACCTCGCTGTCGCCCATAAACAAACCATTGAAATGCGATCTTGTCGGCGTCGGTGTGAGTCCCCGCGCCCTTTTTCGTGTTGGAATTGTTGATTCTACGTCCTCCTAACGATGTCTGACTACTTAAGCGGCGTCAGCGAAATTAACGAGGCTTGTTACACCGCAAAACTTCGCGTGAATAACCTGACCTGCGGCGATTCATTCCGCGTGGACGCCGCAGAGTGTACGCTAAAGTTTGATTCACATGATGAAACTTCGCTCGCAATTTTCAGTAGCGTCGTCGCTCGGACTGCAAAAGAGTGAACCGTAGCTGAGATGGTCGACGCCGATACCGAAAATCGCAAGCAGAATCTAACCAAGTGAATCAGGCATAACAAGTCGGTGATGGCCACTGGTAACAATGATCAACATCTTCTTGTGTCTACTGTTTACGTCGAGCCCTGCTTACCAACCTCCAACATTAAGTCGTTTTAGGCCTGCACTTACTTCTTATCGCAAGTACCGGGCCCACGTTTGGTCTGTACGGGCCGGCGTCGTGTAAGAGAGCAGACGACAAGCAAAAACGTTTGAAAGAGCAGACGACAGTTTGAACGATCAGGCGGCCGTTTGGACTTGAAGACGCACT